GAAGCAGGACGCCGGTGTTGTGTCGTAGAGTGCACCCCTGCCGAATGCACCCCCTGCTAGTAGCCATGATCCAAATACTCGCGTCTTTGTAAAATATGAGCTCATTTGAACGTATTTCCTCCGCACCCTTCTCACCTTTTCAACCCCTGACCCATTTTCATGCCTGAAGCGCTGTGTTTGAGAAATACTTGCGGCTGGGCACTTCATATCGCGGGTCGAGAGTGGCTAGAAGCTGGTCGAAGCCAGGCTTTTCAACGGTAGTTATTGGCAGCATGTCCCTCGCTATGGAGCATGTTACTGCATGGGTGATTTCCTTATGCCGCTCGGACGCTTTGTCGTATTTTTGTTAAGAAACGAAGTCCAGTTTGGTCTGCTTCACATGCTTTGTGCTGGTGCTGGCAGCGGTTCCAGAGGATTCCTCCGACGACGACGACGTGGAGCCGCGGCGCGGCCGACACAGCTCGTACTCCTGCGGGTGCGACCGGTTTAGATGGTAAAACAAGTCGGTTGTGTTACCAGACTTGGTTTTTACTAATTCTCTGCAAATTATGCAAACGACCGCTGTTCGCTTTTTGTCAGACTTCTAAAAACCAAAACATTGCCATGCTGGTGAACTACTGAAACCTTTTTTCGGGACAATTTCCTCCGCTTCTCCTTGCTGTATCATTTTTTCTAATACACGTGCTGTCTGTTGTGGTTTGATAGGGGATGGGCTTGGTGCCGTAGCGTACCTGGGTCTGCGTTTGTGATTGGTTGGGAGGAAGTAATGACTGTAGTAAAAGCTACATGATAGGCTATGATGAGAAAGAAAGGGAAACTGTGTTTTTCTATCGAACTTTTTATCGACCCGTTTTTTTTCTATCGCACCACACGTCTATCGATCGATATATATTATTATCGAATTATCGTCCAGCACTAGGTTATAGTCGTCTGTTTAGCCCATAGACTGTATCTACTACGGACAACTTGGCTCCTCCTCCCGCCTGTTTACAGATTTGAAGCCAAAAAGTTCTCGATATTTCCGTGATTTTTCTCCACTTCCTGAAACCAGCGCCGCGCAGTAGCATTGTTCGCATTCAGCCGCGCAGTCGCAGAGAGTCGCTGTGATGACGCTCGGCTCAAACAGCGTATCCCCGGTGATCTACTCAATCTCTGTCCTCCCATAGGCTGTATCAGGTGTCAATCATAGAAAACATGAACCCCCTAATAACTTTTAAAAATAGAGCTGTACAGAAAAAAGAGGACTTGAGCACAAACCAGTCTGACAGTAACTACATGTCAACATCACAACCAGGGGGGAGAAACATTTATATTCTGTGTCATTCATTTATAAAGTTTGTCCACAGCTCCATAAGGAGGCGGAGTTTAGGACCTATACTGCAGCCCGTCACCAGAGGGCGCTGTTCTCAGAGAGAAGAGACAGATGGCGTCTGTTCTAGATACGGTCTACGGTTTAGACTGACCTGTACTCCAGTCTGAAACTCACGGGATCCGTGTTCCTTCAGCGTCCCGTGTTTCGCAGCATCACACACAGGAAGAGTGTTGCAGCGCGTCTCAGCTCTGCACCAGAAGCGTCTTCACGCGCTGCTCCACCAAAGAAACGCACTGAGCCTGTTTTTGACGGAGCACGGGCCCGGGGGCGTCAGTCTGCACAGAGACGATATTTTAGAATCAGAAAAATTTAGAAATAAAGAAATTTTTAAAAAGAGCACAATTTAAAAAAAAAACTGTAAATTTGTGGACACATAAAAAATTAAAATATAAGTAAAAATAATCTGATCTAAAAAAGATAAGACTCAAAATATTTGGAAAAATTAACATATAAAAATAAAAAACTTTCAACATCACAAAAATATTTGAAGAAAAAAAACACAAATTAAATTAAAAATATAAAAATACTTTTGGAAACATAAATGGAATTTTCAAAAATTCTTATGAAAAACAAAATAATTTGGAAAACCAAAAAAAAACAATTTTTTTAATGAATTAATTAAAAAAACTCAAAAATATTATGAAAAGATTTTAAAGTAACAAAACAAAATTTTTGGAAACAAACTTTTTAAAAACATGAAAATATTTTAGAAAATAAAAATATTTTTGCTGAGAGAAAAATTTTTGAAACGTGAGCTCTGATTGGATAAAACTGCCGTTTTGTGTATTTCATCATAAAATTCTGATCAAATTTAATGTGAGAAATATAAAAATCAACAGTTTGACAAAAGTTAACGTCACATTTTGAATATTTGAATCAAATCTATCGAAGTGACAAACGAGGAGAAACTATGAGAGTGTTTTTGAGGCTGACGGAGAATCAGAGACAAAGAAAGAGAGATGAAGAGGAGGAGGAGGAGGAGGAGAGAGGCTGACATGGAGAATATGGAGGCTCAGAGAGGACTTTGGGGGGGGGGGGGCTGAGGGGCTGAGGGGTGTGTTTGTTGTGCGTACCAGTCGGTGCAGTGTGTGAAATGTGAACTGTGGAGTGTGTGTCAGCGTGAGGAGGAGGAGGAGGAGGATCCTCTCCCTCTTAAAGCCGCTGAGGAAGAGTGAGATCTGCAGAGCTGAGAGAGAGCAGCACTGATCAGGGACACACACTCACTCACACACACTCACACACATACACACTCCTACTGACTCTTAAACACACACACTCACACACACACACACTCATCAGACAAGGACAACAGGCCTTTTGTGCACACACACACAAACACACACACACTTCACTGGACCCCGGACTGACCTTTGAGGATACATCTCCCCCAGGACTCTGTTTCCCATCATGCACCACAGGAGCCTCTCTGAGCTTCAGGGGGTCTCCGCTCAGCAGGGGGCCTCAGCTCTAAGGACTACCCAGGATGGCGCCTCTTTTTGGGGCTCCAGGCTAAGAAAAGGGGGGTCTTCCCGGTGCCGGGCAGCTCCTCTTTGGGCTTGGCTCCTGCTGGGGGCCCTGCTGGTCCCCGGAGCCCGGGGCTTTCTGAGCGAGGAGGCGGAGGAGCTGCTGGTGGAGCTTCACAACCATTACAGAGGACTGGTTTCTCCCACCGCCTCGGCCATGATGCCTCTGGTAAGACACCTGCAGACTGGGGCGAAGGTCAGGTTTGAGCTGATGTTCTTCTCTCTGACCTCCAAACAGAAAGTCCTCCTGATTCTCACTGTTTTAATCTTTGGGCTGAAGTTAAAAGAACAGAGAAAATACAAAGTTTAAAAAAAAAAATCACATTTTAAAGTGACGGACGAGTCGAGGAGCTTTCTCACCGAGACTCTAACGGCACTGAGGAGTTCAGGGCAGTGAGGAGCCCTCACGTCTGAAAAAGGCTAAAAACACAACGAGCCGTCTTTGGGCTCCTTCTAGCAGTAAAACATGAGAGAAGTTTCCTCTGGGTGAGTTTCAAAAGTGTCCCTCTGACGGCCTGATCGTACACTGAGCTGACATGTGAGGGTTCAAACTCGCTCCAACATTTGATTTACATTCAATGACTTTGTTGGAAAATTTCACATCAAACCTGCAGAATCTGAGAGTTCAGTTTTGTTCAGTTTTGAACATTTTTGATCATTTTTGAACATGAATAATTTTCTGTTTCTTAGTGTTGTGTTGTTTGTGAACGATTCGATCAAAAGAACCAGATCTTTTAAGTGAACGTACTGAACCGAATCACTTCCTCGAGTGATTCGTTCGTTTCTCACGTCATTAGAGCTGAAGTCAGAAACATCATTACCAGGCCAGCAGCCGGCGAACGAGGGACCTCATGAACCGACGCCTGAATCACTTGGTGAACGAATCACACGTTGAACTTCACTCTCTGGAATCATTTTTGTTAATTATTAAACCTGCAGCATCCTGTGACTGCAGCGGTTTGTGAGGGAACGGTTCATGTTCAGTGTGAATTCTTCAGTGAATGAATCTCTAACTGACCCTGATTTACCGAACAGATCTGATAAATAACATGAAAAACATCACGACTTCCAAAAAGTTCATTTTATAAACCAGTTTAAGAAACACAGACAAACACTCGTCTCCAGAAACTCTGATCTGAACTGAACCCTGAACCGTTCGGCTGTGAATCAGTTCAGGAGTCACAGGCTCCTCCCACTAAATGATTCAGTAATTCTGTGAACGAATCTTTTGAACGAATCTTTTTAGTGAACTGATTCTAGTGATTCAGTCTAAAAGAGCTGACGTGCCCAAAGTAAAGCCTGAACCGTCTCTTCAGAACTGAGCGGTCATAAACTTCTCTGTAGAAGGTCGGCTGAACTTCCACATAGATGATTGACACCTGCGGGGACCAATCGTCTGACAGACCTCAGAGTCTAACCCGAGTGAGGCGGGGTCTGTGTGTTTGAAGTTATTGGATCATATCAGTAAAAAACGGACGCCGTTGAGGTCGAGGTTCCTCAGGTCTCAGAGGGAGGTTTGTCTGTGTGTCGTCTGCGTAGAGAAGAACCCGGTTCCTGAGTGGCCTGGGTCGGATCAGGGTTCGTCTCGATTATTCTGGGTTCATGATGAGTTTCTGATGATGCTCTTGGTTTCTTAGAACGGGTCCTCTGGAGTGAAACTGTGTCGTTTTTACTTTTATTTATGCAGGATGTCAAAGCGCCGCGTTCTTATGAGCGCAAAACAAACCGAGTTAATTCTATCGAACTAAAACGACGTCGACAAGAAACAAAGTGACGACTCATGAGTCTTTATCAGGACACATCAGGCGGATCGAACAGCGTTCAGTACAACAGCGGACTCTGGTCTGTGATGGTCTCAGATTCTGCTGCTAGACTTGGATTCCCCAAGATCCAGAGGTTCTGGATCTGAGGCGGCAGAGACCTGAAAAATGGGCGTAAAGAAAGACGAGGATCTGGGTCTCTGAAACAAGTGAAATGATGCCGAAGAGTCGTCTGCAGAAAACAGGAGCGTGTCGAACATCCGAATGTGTCGAACATTCACTGAAACACTCTGAGTGACATGAACTTGTTCCAAAAAAGCTGAACTGTCCCTTTAAGAACTATCGGACGGTCATGTGACGCATGTGTCAGAAAACCGCCAAAGGAGACTTTTAACGTAGAAACACCTTCGTGAAGTTTCAGTGATCGTACATGAGGCCTGGAGGGGTTTTCTCGGGCTTTTAAAGAGCGGCTAGTTTTGGCTTCACTTTTCACCGACATGCACCGAGCGGACAATCCTTCGATGGCGGTCAAAAAGACGAACAGAGGCGGTGAAACTGTGGCAGATAAATGATTGGTTTAAAAAAGTACACGTTTCATTCGTGACCGTTTTCGTTCCTCGTCGGCGTTTAACTCTTTAAACTGCGACACCTTCGTACACCTGGACTGCTGCAGGCCTGATGTGGCGTAACTCCGCCCCTAAATCTCCAAAAACTGATCCAGATCAAACAGATGGAAAAACCAGAGCGCAGTCTTCAGCTCAGTCTAATCCAGGGACAGACTAAAGAGTCGTGACCCTGAAGTCGTGACACTGAGTCACCTTTGGTCCAATCAGTGAAGCTGCTGACAGCGAGCCTCATCCTGAGTGACCCGCAGCCGTCACAGAGCCGTCTTTATACGCAGAGAGAGGAGCTGCTGTTGGCGCTTTAATCCAATTTGAAGCAGCAGGAGTCGCTCATTGTGGAGATGATCCGATTAATCCGAACCCTCGGCGGGTCACATGAAACTTCTGCAGGAAACGAAGAGAAGAAGAAGAAACCTGACGGCGGTTTGAAGACAAACTCCTCGCTGGTTCTGAGCGGACGCTCATCTACGTTTGTTTTTACGACACAGAGTGAATCTACATCAAATATCTATGACTGTATAAGAGTGAAGACATCTGACATCTAAAATCTATACAAACCATCTGAAGAGTCTGACGAAAGTTTCCGACTGTTTTTGACTTTCAGCACCAAAGTCAACGTGTTTGAGGACGAGAACGTCTGAAACTCTCCGTCATCATTTAAAACTTTATTTAAATTATGACTTTTATCAAACCCAGAATTAAAAACAGGCTGAAGTTAAATTAAAATAGAGTCAGTTAGAAATCCGACAGACTTTACGATCATCGCAGAGTGAAACTTTAAAGTAAATTCAGTCTGAAAATATCGTCAAACTCGCCGCAGTGAAACTTCTGTTTCCTCCTCCTGAAATCAGACGTTCGTCTCCTCGCCGTTTTCTTCTTTTCGTTCTTCGTTTCTTTTTTCATGTTTTTTTTTTTCTCAGCTGATGAAACTTTTTAGACTTTTTGAGTTTTTTCTGAACTTTGTGAAGAAACAAAGATTTTCAGCTAAACGCCGACATGCTTCACAGATCCTGGCTTTGACCTTTGACCTGAGGACAGTCTGGATAGTCCTCTTTAGGACGCCACGTCCACGGTTTTCCAAAACTATCAGACTTCAGTCCTGTCCAGGGAAGCCGGCGCCGTTTCTGTCTGAGTTTGTGGATGTAGACCTGATGAAGGTTCCTGAAGTCCTCCTGAGTCCACGTGGTCAGACCCTTCACAGACCTGATGAAGGTTCCTGAAGTCCTCCTGAGTCCTTGTGGTCGGACCTGATGAAGGTTTCTGAAGTCCTCCTGAGTCCTCGTGGTCAGACCTAATGAAGGTTTCTGAAGTCCTCCAGAGTCCACGTGGTCAGACCCTTCACAGACCGGATGAAGGTTCCTGAAGTCCTCCTGAGTCCACGTGGTCAGACCCTTCACAGACTGATGAAGGTTCCTGAAGTCCTCCAGAGTCCTCGTGGTCAGACCTGATGAAGGTTTCTGAAGTCCTCCTGAGTCCTCATGGTCAGACCCTTCACAGACCTGATGAAGGTTCCTGAAGTCCTCCTGAGTCCTCGTGGTCAGACCCTTCACAGACCTGATGAAGGTTTCTGAAGTCCTCCAGAGTCCACGTGGTCAGACCTGATGAAGGTTTCTGAAGTCCTCCTGAGTCCTCATGGTCAGACCCTTCACAGACCTGATGAAGGTTCCTGAAGTCCTCCTGAGTCCACGTGGTCAGACCCTTCACAGACCTGATGAAGGTTCCTGAAGTCCTCCTGAGTCCTCGTGGTCAGACCCTTCACAGACCTGATGAAGGTTTCTGAAGTCCTCCAGAGTCCACGTGGTCAGACCCTTCACAGACCTGATGAAGGTTTCTGAAGTCCTCCTGAGTCCACGTGGTCAGACCCTTCACAGACCTGATGAAGGTTCCTGAAGTCCTCCTGAGTCCTCGTGGTCTGACCCTTCACAGACCTGATGAAGGTTCCTGAAGTCCTCCAGAGTCCACGTGGTCAGACCCTTCACAGACCTGATGAAGGTTTCTGAAGTCCTCCAGAGTCCTCGTGGTCAGACCCTTCACAGACCTGATGAAGGTTTCTGAAGTCCTCCTGAGTCCTCGTGGTCAGACCCTTCACAGACCTGATGAAGGTTTCTGAAGTCCTCCAGAGTCCTCGTGGTCAGACCTGATGAAGGTTTCTGAAGTCCTCCAGAGTCCTCGTGGTCAGACCCTTCACAGACCTGATGAAGGTTTCTGAAGTCCTCCAGAGTCCACGTGGTCTGACCCTTCACAGACCTGATGAAGGTTTCTGAAGTCCTCCTGAGTCCTCGTGGTCAGACCTAATGAAGGTTTCTGAAGTCCTCCAGAGTCCTCGTGGTCAGACCCTTCACAGACTGATGAAGGTTTCTGAAGTCCTCCAGAGTCCACGTGGTCAGACCTAATGAAGGTTTCTGAAGTCCTCCAGAGTCCTCGTGGTCAGACCCTTCACAGACTGATGAAGGTTTCTGAAGTCCTCCAGAGTCCTCGTGGTCAGACCCTTCACAGACCTGATGAAGGTTTCTGAAGTCCTCCAGAGTCCTCGTGGTCAGACCTGATGAAGGTTCCTGAAGTCCTCCAGAGTCCTCGTGGTCAGACCCTTCACAGACCTGATGAAGGTTTCTGAAGTCCTCCAGAGTCCTCGTGGTCAGACCCTTCACAGACTGATGAAGGTTCCTGAAGTCCTCCAGAGTCCACGTGGTCAGACCCTTCACAGACTGATGAAGGTTTCTGAAGTCCTCCAGAGTCCTCGTGGTCAGACCTGATGAAGGTTCCTGAAGTCCTCCAGAGTCCACGTGGTCTGACCCTTCACAGACTGATGAAGGTTTCTGAAGTCCTCCAGAGTCCACGTGGTCTGACCCTTCACAGACTGATGAAGGTTTCTGAAGTCCTCCTGAGGGTCTCTCAGTGTTTCTCCTCTCGATGGTTTGATGTCGATGATGAAATCGCAGTTGTTGACAAAGTGCTGAACCTGGTCCCGTCCTGGTTCGTGAAGGACTGAGTCTTTCAGGGATCCTCCTTCGCCAATCAGAGGCGAAGGAGGCGGGACTTTCCCCTACCATCCTACAACAACAAAAATCACGGAGGGCTCCTATTGGTCAATGTTTCTGAAGCTGATAGGATGAACGGATTTTTCCGATCTTTCTTCTCTTCACTATTGGACCATGATCGCCATGGAAACGAGGTTCATAATAATGACCATCTCTACAATCGTCAACCAGGACTTTAAAGGGACACCTCCTCACTAAGTTGACCTCTGGATAGGGGTCACCACTGACTTCTCGTCCAATAGAAAACCTCGACCTTAACGCCTCGCTGCTCTCGGCCGAGTTCGCCGCAGGATCAGGTCAGATCGTCCAATAAAAACGCTGAGTCAATCACCGCGCTGATTCCAGGAACAGACGGGTGTTTCCCTCCTGTACATGAGGGGGAGGGAGAGGGGGAGGGAGAGAGGGAGGGAGAGAGAGAGGGAGGGAGAGAGGGAGGGAGAGAGGGAGAGAGGGAGACAGAGAGACAGAGAGGGAGGGAGTTGAGCAACAGAGGAGGAGGACTGTTGAGAAAGAGGAGCGAGACGAAGGAGAGAAAGAGGAGGATGAAGGAATTAGGGCCAAGAGATTTGTTTGTGTGTGTGTGTGTGTGTGTGTGTGTGTGTGTGTGTGTGTGTGTGTGTGTGTGTGTGTGTGTGTGTGTGAGGACAAGGGGACATCTCAGCCTGTCTCCAGCCGGTATGGTAGCCCCACTGGGACATTTCCATATTGATGTTTTTCTCTCTGTTGTTTTTGAGACCGGAGAGAACAAAGGAGTTAAAAAGAGGAGGAGTTAGGAAGAAACGAGGGAGGAAGGAGAGGAGGATGAGGAGACAAGGACAGGAGGGAGGGAGCTGGAGATAACGAACAGACAAGGAGGTTAAAAACGGACAGAAACTCTCCGACAGTTCGGACAGAATCAGCTGAACATGAACAAATCTGGTTCTGTATGTTTAAAGTAGTACCATTAATGTCCACAAGGTGGCGCAATGACTGTAGTGTAGACATAGACACAGAGACTTTTATTATGTACCGTATTTTTCGGACTTCAGATCCTTTTGGCTTGTCAGAGCGCTGCGGCGACTGTAACCTCGCCGAGTTATTGACCGAGTTTGACTTAACTGTTTGGATTAATGTGTTTTATAATCCGGTGCGTTTTATAATCCGGTGTGTTTTATAATCCGGTGTTTTATAATCCGGTGTGTTTTATAATCCGGTGTTTTATAATCCGGTGTGTTTTATGATCCGGTGTGTTTTATAATCCGGTGTTTTATAATCCGGTGTTTTATAATCCGGTGCGTTTTATAATCCGGTGTTTTATAATCCGGTGTTTTATGATCCGGTGTTTTATAATCCGGTGTTTTATAATCCGGTGTGTTTTATAATCCGGTGTTTTATGATCCGGTGTTTTATAATCCGGTGTTTTATAATCCGGTGCGTTTTATAATCCGGTGTTTTATAATCCGGTGTGTTTTATGATCCGGTGTTTTATAATCCGGTGTTTTATAATCCGGTGCGTTTTATAATCCGGTGTTTTATGATCCGGTGTTTTATAATCCGGTGTTATTTATAATCCGGTGTGTTTTATAATCCGGTGTTTTATAATCCGGTGTTTTATGATCCGGTGTTTTATAATCCGGTGTTATTTATAATCCGGTGTGTTTTATAATCCGGTGTTTTATAATCCGGTGTTTTATAATCCGGAGTGTTTTATAATCCGGTGCGTTTTATAATCCGGTGTTTTATAATCCGGTGTTTTATGATCCGGTGTTTTATAATCCGGTGTTTTATAATCCGGTGTGTTTTATAATCCGGTGCGCTTGTGTATGAAAATAGACTCCAATAGACACGTTCATTGATGGTGCGCCTTAAAAACACGGTATCTGAAAAACGAAACTGATCCGACGCCGTGCGAAGGAGCTTCAGTTACTTCATTTTTCACGATAAGACATCAAAGTCTAAGAAGCCACGCCCCCTGACGTTCAAACTGCACTTCACAAACGTTTGAGTTAGTTACACAAAAACTCACGGAAACCTTTTGACCTCGACCTCAAGGAGACGCGCCTCATCCTGCAGACGTTAAAACCTGAACTCGCCGTCCGCCGTCACAGAACTCTGTCTGTGTTTGGACTGATCACGCCAGCTCCCGTTTCAGTGTTATTGTAATTAATCTGATGTGTGTGTGTGTGTGTGTGTGTGTGTGTGTGTGTGTGTGTGTTTGGTCCACCTCTCTGTTTGGACCTTTTTTACCTCCTGAATAAAAACTCATTCCTCCACGGTTCCTCCCGGACGGACGGGCGCAGGTTTGGCGCGGAGCGGCGTCGTGATGTAACTGTAAACTTGGCTGAATGTTTGTCCTCTGGGTTTGTTTTTATGGGTTTCTAAGCGCCGATAATCGGCGGGGCTCGGCACAGATGATGAAATACTCGCCGTCCTGCAGTATGAGGGCGGGTCTGTGAGTCTTACAGGGTCTCCTGCTGAGAGTCTTTCTCTGCAGGTCTCTGATCCGGTTTCAGGCTCTGATGAAACTGTTTGTTTTAATCTGAAACTCGGCAGGAACCCCGAGGCGTCATGTGACCTGTGAAAGTCACATCATGTCATAATGGTCGGCTCTGGATTGGTCGGACTGTCGCAGAATCGCAGGTGTGAGGATGTAGGGGAACTTTTTGAACCCCCTTCACTACCAGCTCCCCCCGCCGTGTCATCGGCGTTCAGGGATGTAGGCGTGTCTTCGATCCTCCGCCATCCTGACAGAGAAAGAACATTGGTTTAGGACGCAGCGTTCACCTGCGACGTCGCAGATCCAGGAAACTCGTTATGAGACGAAGAGAGGGGGCGGGGCTGCAGGGTTCTGAAGGTTCTGAGCCCGACGGTCCGAAACCTCAGGATCCAAAAGAAAGAACAACAGGGTTCTGTCTGAGAGTTTAACACCCCCCCTTTAGTGAGTGTGTGTGTGTGTGTGTGTGTGTGTGTGTGTGTGTGTGTGTGTGTGTGTGTGTGTGTGTGTGTGTGTGTGTGTTTATTTGTCCGGCGATGACACACAACACAAACAATAGTCAGGGGTCTCCTCCACATTCCTGCCTCTCTCCAGGCTCTCTCAACATCTGCTCCGTGTTTTGACTTTGGGGTCACGTGTGTGGTCATGTTAACACACACACACACACACACACACACATACACACACACACACTCACACATACACACACACACACACACACACACACACACACACACAGATTTCAACAGTTATCAGTTGAATGTTTTTGGACTTTGAACATAAACTGATGATAAACTTTTCTGTCTGTGTTACAACATCTATACTGTTAGAGGAGAACATCTATACTCTACAACATCTATACTGTTAGAGGAGAACATCTATACTCTACAACATCTATACTGTTAGAGGAGAACATCTATACTCTACAACATCTGTATCTGATCAACACCAAAACAGACGTGATGTTTATCATTTACATGAAACTCTCTTTAGGCTCTTTTTCGTCTGTCGGGTTTTTTACTTTTTACAGCTGAGGAAGTTAAACGACCTTCAATCATCGAGTTTGGAGCAAAAAGAAAAAAAAGTTTTAAAAAGTTTTAAAAAGGTTTAAAAGGGTTTAAAAAGTTTTTAAAAGTTCTTAAAAGTTTTTAAAAGGGTTTAAAAAGTTTTAAAAAGGTTTAAAAGGGTTTAAAAAGGTTCATCGGCGTCACATTTATCTGAGAGTTCCTGCTGCAGAGCCGACTTCACCGACTTCAGAGTCAGCCCAGACATCTGGATCTTGTAGCTCCACACCTGTGCAGGTAGACCTCCATCAGAGGGTTACCTCCATCAGATCTCCACCATAATTATGAATCCTGCCGACAGACAGTTGGAGATGATTTCGTCAAAAAGACACAAAAATCTCAAAAAGAAAAACATGAACCAGCTCTGAGCTCTGCTGTCCCTGCAGACAGGCGTCATCACTGTGGAGGAAACGACCTTTACAGACAGACACGCTGGTGTAGGAGGTCAGTCACGGGCCGAGGTCAGAGGTCAAACCGTGAATGAGAAGGTGTCATCAGACGCTCGGCCTCCTCAGGAAACCCGCGGGTTAAATCTGATCATTTCCTGTCTGAACATGTCGGGGTCACTCAGGGTCAGGATGTTCTTCTCTAACCTCGAAAAACAGAAACCAGACGTCCGCCCTGAACTCGGCGCCATCAGATCTTCACGAGACAGAAAACCTCGAAGTGAAGCGTTTCTTCTTTTTGTCTCTGTTTGAGATTCATGATCCTCGCCGATCAGCGGAAGAGTTAAACCGAGACGCTGAATGTTGAGATGATGAAGTTCAATTCTGATCAGAATAAACGAAGTTTTAGTTTGGGGGGGTTAGAAAAACCACCTCAGAGTCCGAACGCCTCTCTGACCGCGCGAGTCTCAAACGTGGAGATCAATTTTTAAACAGCTTAAAAAAAAAGACTCAGATTAAACCGGTTTAAGTTTTTTTTTTATCACTTTATGTAAAAAAATCTGAGGAGGTTAAAGACGGACAGGAGCCGCCGACAGAGCGAGGGCGCCGTTATTACAGAGCGAGGGCGCCGTTATTACAGCGCTGCGTTTGTGGAGTCACACTTTATTTTTTATAGTTAGAGTAAATATTATTATATTAAATATCATATAATTATATTAAATATATTATTATATTAAATATCATATAATTATATTAAATATATTATTATATTAAATATCATATAATCATATAATTATATTAAATATATTATTATATTAAATATCATATAATTATATTAAATATATTATTATATTAAATATCATATAATTATATTAAATATATTATTATATTAAATATCATATAATTATATAAAATATATTATTATATAAAATATATAATTATATTAAATATATTATTATATTAAATATCATATAATTATATTAAATATATTATTATATTAAATATCATATAATTATATTAAATATATTATTGTATTAAATATCATATAATTATATTAAATATATTATTATATTAAATATCATATAATTATATTAAATATACTATTGTATTAAATATATATAATTATATTAAATATATTATTGTATTAAATATCATATAATTATATTAAATATATTATTATATAAAATATATAATTATATTAAATATATTATTATATTAAATATCATATAATATTATTAAATATACTATTGTATTAAATATATAATTATATTAAATATATTATTATATTAAATATCATATAATTATATTAAATATATTATTGTATTAAATATCATATAATTATATTAAATATATTATTGTATTAAATATCATATAATTATATTAAATATATTATTATATTAAATATCATATAATTATATTAAATATATTATTGTATTAAATATCATATTATGATGACGGTTGTTATTCGTCATGTTGTGATTGACAGCTCCTTGACTGATACTCAGAGGTCAGAAAAACGAAGTTTATCAGAAACACTAAATTAAGACTAAAACACGTTAAACCCTTAACTTAACGACGCAGGAGGACATCTACTTTAATCTGTTCTATCTATACTGTTGAAGTCTATTCAGTTTTAGTCTATTTGATGCTGTTCTGGACTATTCTCTTCTATTCTCTTCTATTTTAATCTATTTTAATCTATTCTAGTTAAATTCATCCTGCTCTATCTTACTTTCATCTTTTCTATTCTTTTCAGTTCTAGTCCGTCCTTCACTGTTCTGATCTATTTTATTCTATTATGTTCAATTTTATTCATTTGAATTATATTTTATTCTACTCTATTCTAGTCTTACCGTCACACAGGTCCGAATCAGACGGTTCTGTTTCTGACCAGCGCCTCTCTGTTTGCAGAAATGGGATCCTTCCCTGAAGATGGTCGCTGAAGGCTACGCTGCGAAGTGTATCTGGAACCACAACCCGGACCTGGAGGAGACCGGAGAGAACCTGTTTGCCAGCACCAAGCCCATGGACCCCCGGGAGGCTCTGGAGGAGTGGTTCCTGGGTCTGTTTGTTTACTCCAGTTTCGCTGCTCCTACATCCTTCAAAATAAACTTTTAATAACGTCACGTAAATATCGACTGATTCAGGTTTAAGGTCGGTAAAGATGTTGTTTAATGATGTCGACAGGATCTGATACCGACAGGAAAAGTCTCAATAATCCGATCAAACACCGACGATGACTCCTGACATGATCACCTGAGCGTAGGGCTGGGCGATAAAACGATATCGATATAAAACATCGTCAAAATGCTTTTTCGATAGTCGGCATTACCGAGGAGTAACGGACGTTCTCTCTTCTCGGAATCGGAATGACCATGGTGCGTTCAGGAGCGTCGGACAATTGAAAACTCACCGTAAAACACGAAATAACGTTTTTTACATGAAAACACGAAACAACACGAGCTTTCTAAGAGGTATTCTGTCTCCACGGCAACGCCTTACAACAAGACGCCGCAGAGACACAGAGACCTCACAGATGCAGGAGATTCTTGAATAAGACATGCGACCAGAAAACACTGTTCGATTTATATCCTGATATTGATCGATATCAGCTGATCTGAGCCCTACCTGAGCTAATGTCATGTTTCTACGGCGACACCAGTCGAGGAAAACAAAAACTTTCTTTAAAATACGATCTTTGAAACTCGATCTTTGACTTTGGTGAGAAAAGATCGACTTTCAGAAACACGATCGTAAATCTGAGAGACGATGCTGCAGCGACGTTCAAGACGAGCTCAGAGACACACACGCGCACACACACACACACACACACACACACACACACGCACACACACGCACACACACACACACACACACACTAATCTCACCTGCTGTGTTTCTCTGTTTCCTGTAGAAAACCTGAACTATGACTTCAACAACAACAGCTGTGATGAGGACAAGATGTGTGGACACTACACACAGGTCAGACTCCAACACAACACACACACACACACACTGGTGTCTACACACTCTGCCTCACCACGTGTGTGTGTGTGTGTGTTTCAGATGGTGTGGGCGGACACACACAGAGTCGGCTGTGCGACACATTTCTGCAGCAACATGGAGGGTCTGGACTGGGGGAAGGCGTACTTCCTCGTCTGTAACTACTATCCAGCGTCAGTACCAACACACACAGACACACACAGACACACACACAGACACAGACACACACAGACACACACACACACAGACACACACACACACAGACACACACAGACACACACAGACACACACACACAGACACACACAGACACACACAGACACACACACAGACACAGACACACACACACAGACACACACACACACACACAGACAGACACACAGACGTGTGTCATCAGTTCAGTCTGTCCTCTCTAAAAGTGTAAATCTGAAGTTTCTGCAGCGTCTCGTTTTTCTGTTCCGTCTCCTTATAGAGAAACCAGAACCGGAGTTTCTGTTCGGGTCATTTCTGGATCAGTACCAGAGTTCTTCTGCCATTTCTTTCATATTGATCTACTGCTGCATTAGAATGAGAGCGCCCCCTTGTGGATAATTTCAGAATTGCAACAGCTTCAGTTTTTATATGTTGAATTTTTCAATCAAATTTTAAGACGAAGAAATTCAAGAAAATTTTAGTAACACTTTACTTGACGTCTATTTCTGTAACACATTATAAATATATTTGTATAATCCGTAATAATTATATTATATTACTGTTTAATATACGGTTTCCCGTAACCAAACAATCATTTAAACATTAATAATCAAATATTTGGAGGCTTTTCCAGTTTTTTACCGACTATATTTCTGTTCATGTTGTTGTTTATTAATAATAAAATAATAATAATATTTTATTCTGCAGAAAAACGTCACGTTCACCGTCTGAGGTGTGGAAACATTTTCACACGAGCTCATGTTGAAGGAGAAATATTTACATTTATGTTCAGAGACGATTCAGTTTCTTTAAATTATTCAAACTTACAGTTAATTCCCAATAAAAGTTTGAATATTTCCAAAATTCCCCGGCGTGACTAAAAGTGATTTTATTTCCACAGGAAGAACCTGAAGTTCACGTGTTTTTGTGTTTTTCACTCTCTGTGTTGTCAGAGGGAACTATGAAGGCGAGCGGCCGTACGTCGAAGGTGATTGGTGCTCCAGGTGTCCTGAAAACCTCCAGAAGTGTGAGAACAACCTCTGTGGTGAGACGGCGCTTTACTTTCACTGATCAAAGTTCGATCAGAAATATTCGATTCAGCTCAGAAACGACTTTTTTTGGTTCTTTGTAGTCGATGACTCCGAGGAGGAGATGGAGGAGGAAGGAGAGGAGGCGGAGGAAGAGGAGGTGACGGATTTCCCCGTCACCACCGAGCCCTTCTTCCTGCCCGACGAGGAGGAAATGGAAGAGGAGGCGGTTGTTCCTTCTCCTGCGACTACTGACGCTTACGTCCCACCGATGACCACCGATATGACCACGACTGCAACAACAACGACCACGGCGTCGACCACTCCCCCTGATATCAACACCACCTCTGAGGAAGACTCCGAGGAAGACTCTGAAGAAATGGAAGCAGAGGTCACCGCCGCCCCGAGGACACAGCCTCCAGAAGACCCCTCAACGACACCGGGGAGTCACGAGGAGGTGGGGGAGGAGAAAGAGGAGGAGGAGACGGAGGAGGAGGAGAAGGCGGAGGAGGAGGAGAAGGTGGAGGAGAAGAAGGCGGAGAAAGAGGAGGAGAAGGCAGAGGAGAAGAAGAAGGGGGAGGAGAGGAAGGAGGAGGGGGTGGAGAAGAGGAAGCCGGCGGAAAAAGCCGAGAGAGACGTGGTGGTAAAAATATTCCAGAACCATCGAGTGACGGTCAGCGCCGGTTCGGTTTGTTCACCGTCGGTCCTGTTAGCCTGCCTGACTGGGATCCTGACTCTGAGGCTGTGAGGAGGAGGAGGAGGAGGAGGAAGAGGAGGTGGAGGAGTAGAGGAGGAGGAGGAGGAGGAGACCTCATCCCAACACTCTGACTTTACATGACCTTGTTAATCCAGCCTGAGGTAACAAACGAGTCGAGAAGAACGAGTCGGTAAACGACCAGCGAGAAAACATCTGCAGCCGCTCTGAAGGTCGACGGGAAAAAAGAGGAAAAAAAACCTGAAAGATCTTCTGGAGGACGGAGGAGACCCGGCTGAGGAGCAGGCAGACGTTCAGAAACATCTTTATCTAAGAAAGAGACGCC